TTTTTTTTTTTTTTTTTTTTTTTTTTTTTTGTCTTTAAGATTTGATTGTTATTTTATTGAAAATGCTTAGTGGGATGGGGTGACAGCTCAGTGGCATTAAGTGCCTGCCTGGCATGCACAAGGTCCTAAGTTTGATAGTACTGGAAAAAAAAAAAGAAAAGAAAAATGTTTAAAAATTCATATATATAATTTTAAGATCAATGGGAACTATCAAGAAAAAAACATCCAAATGAGAATATTTTAACGATCTATCTAGATTTCAATGGACTTTTTTTCTTTTAAAGGCTCACTATGATATTTTAATATCTATATATTTGAGAAATCGTGACTGTTTAACATATGAGCAGTGAAATTTAGAAGATGCTCTGGTTTGTATCCAGCTGTCCCCCAAACCTCACACAGTCATGGGGCAGGTTTCGGAGATTGTGATTGATTCTTGATCCAGTTCTGGAATTATAGGTGTGAGAGCCCTGAGGCCGGTACCCTACATACAAAAGTAAGGAGCAGAGAGAGGCTGGCTGGAAGCCACAGCTGCTGCCCCTCCCTTTTGCTCTCTGCCTTTGTTGCCGCCACAAACTGCTGCTCTCTGCCATGTGCTGCTCTGCCTTGGAGCCAGCTGAGTAAGGACTGAAACCTGCACAAACTATGAGGTAAGTAAATGTTTCCTTCCTTCATTTTGGGTGCTGGGTATTTGTCCCAACAAAGAGAGAAGAGTAACTGAGACAGAAGAAAATGAACACTAAACATCTACTTTCATTATCAAATTAAAATTTAAGGTGCTAGTTTAATTCACTTGTATTTAGTGAGAGTTAACACAAGGTTACACAAGGATTAACAACACAGATAAGTCTAAACAAATATTGGGAACACCTCACCTTTTCCTATGGCTTATCTGTGTTGCTAACCCTTGTGTAACAGATCAATTCTTAGGAAAATATGTGTCTCTGACCATTGCCATGTAGACAGGAATCATTGTATGAGTAGCACCTGGAGGGTGTCTGGAATTTTACTCATAGTATCTGCCTGTCCACCTGGGACATAGCTGATATCTAATTCCTTAATATAGGAACGAACCATTCAAAACTATACTTAGTTAATATCCTTCAACTTCATTCCTTGAGCTGGTAGTTTTTGGGTCTCTGCGAGTTCAAAATCATAACAAATGAGACAGCATACATTATGACTATAACTCTCAATTTAGTTCCATATTCATATGACTATTTACTTCCCTAGTCAATTAATTACTAAATTACATGGGATTATCTTTTCAAAGGCAAATTACAAACAATTTCTTGCGGCAGTCCTATTCTTATTAGAAAAATGTGTTAGTTATCAGTCACTGGGGGAAAAAAGAGTGACTAATGAATAAGATAAGAAATAAGGACAGCTGAAGATTTCTGCCTCGCCCTCTTTGCTGACTCATGGCGTGGCGTCTGAGCCCAGGCAGTACACCAGGAAGCCCCAGCTTCCCTGTGTGCATTGTATGACGTGCAGTGTGGCGCTCCCCCAAGCTCCTCCAGGACTGATGCGGAATCATGGGCTCCTGTTAGTGAGACACAGTGTGGCTGTCTTCAACAGTGACTTGAAAATTATGCAAGAGCCTCATAATCTCACAGTTATGCTATTATCTTATGGATTTAAAGGACAGTAAGGCAAATATGCTTTCTTTTTTTTAATTTTATTTATTTGTGTGTGTGTGTGTGTGTGTGTGTGTGTGTGTGTGTGTGTGTGTGTAGCCAGCTCAGCCCACCAGGGGGCGGTGCTGGCTGGCATGTGGTGCTGGGGGATCGAACCGCGGTCCCTGTGCTTTGCCAAGCTTGCTCCAAGTAGGTGCTTTAGACCACTGAGCCATCTCACCAGCCCCTTTTTTTTTTTTAATTTTAATATGCTTTCTAAAAATACAAGATTAACGTACTTTAAGACTGTAAGTAATTCTAAAGACAACATGGCTGTCACTATTTATTGCTACTAAGGCAAAGAAAAAATTTTAAATTGTAATCAAAACTATCATTTTAAATCTAACTTAAAATTAAATATAAAAATATTTAAAGATTAATAAAAATATATGGCCTAACCATTTTATGGGGATGTACTGATATCTTTGTAATGAATATACAACATATAATATGTGAAGGAAAAAATAAGCCAAATTTTGTATATTTTAAAAATCTTCTAAGTACCAGAAATTGAATGAAGTTTGAAAATAAATTAGTAAAGGGCTGGCCAGATAGCTCAGCAGATTAAAGTGCCTGCTTAGGAAGAAGCAGGGGCCAGGGGTTCTGTCCCTGGTCTGCTCTGCTGGCCCTGCCTCTAGGGCATGCTGAGACTGAGATTGAGACTGGGCATAGTGGCGCGTGCCTGCAGTCCCACCACTTTGGAGGCTGAGAAACAGGAGGATCACTACAAGTCCGATCTGTGTAGTAAGACCTTGTAAGCCCTGTACTAAATGAATAAAAAAGGAAATTAGCATATTCCAGAATTATTAAACAATGTCCTATGTCTATTCAAGATTCAGTGAACTCAATGTTAGAGACTTATTATTAATCAGAAGATTGAATGGAAATTAACTTTAATTTGTGCGAATACACTTGCTCATAAAATTGGACAAATCTTTCAAAGGAACATGAAGTTTTCCACTGCTATAGAAAGAAACTCAGAAGTAACACTAAAGTTATTAAAGTTATCTCAATAGATAAAAATTTTCATCAGATTTAAAAAGTAAAGTCTACTGAATAGTATTTAACAGGAATATGCATAAGAGGAAAAATACTGTTCGAAGTCTCTTAAGGCTTGCATCTAGATGTCCCTCCTAAGCCCTATAGGGATGGGGTTTTCAGAATTGGCTGGATCTAAGAACTGCGTGGATTTATATTAAAGTTATGTGAATATGGATTGCAGTTGTGGTACTAAATTAGTTCACTGAAGGGTTTAGTGTAATTCTGTGTGTGGATAATGGAAGACCCTCATAGATGTAGGTGGCACTACCGGAAAGGCTATAGCCCAGAAGGAATAACAGGGGAAGCGACTCTTGCTCCGCTGCTGCAGCTTTCCTCCTGCCCTGCCATGGGCTGCTCGCCCTCTGCCGTGCTTGTCTGCCATGCTGCTCTGCCTTGGAGCCAGCGAAAATATGAACTGAGTACACTACAAACAGTGAGCTAACATGAGGCTATCCATCGTTATCTTTCAGGGGGTGGGGATTCGGGCCATGTATCAAGAAAGTAATTAAGGTGAAGTACCATGTTTAAATACTGGTTTTGTTAATTTCTAGTTTTACAGGGGTAAGGAAGATATTCATCATCTTGAATTTTAGCTTCCATATGGAGAACAATGTGTTAATGATATGTTCTTGACACAGTGATCATCAGATTTAGAAATGAATGAGAAAATGCCTATGGGGTAAATAAATGATTATTATTTGGAGGTTATCCTTTTGCATAATACTTAGAGAACCATGAAAGGATTTTAGAGTTTGAAAAGGAGAACTTGTTAAATATAGTTAATAAAATTGTGGAGATTTTGAAATGTTTGGGAGCAAATTCTAAATACATTAAGCAGTATAATCTTCCCTAATTTATCTGCCAATGTTAAGCTCCATTTCACAACTTATTCTAATCAAAATTACCTTTAAAATATACTCTGGTTACCGCTGCCAAATAAATTTCACCTCCAAATCATATTAATTTGGGTTTTTAAATCAATTTTCTGTTATTATATTTGACATGCTAAATCAAAAGGAAGAAAAAGGGGCACAAAGAAATGTGCAATGCATTCAAGAATACACACCTCCCATTTTATAATCATTTCCTTGGGTTGAGAAGCTTGAACCTTTATGTATTGTGGATTCTTGTCTGGAGCTGAAAAAGGATAAATGTTAAAATTATTTTTATCGCTTCATAGTAACCAACAGGGAAATCATCATAACACTCCCCCCAAAAACCAAGATATTTAAATAAATTTGATTGTATTTAGGAATTTAAAATGTTGCAGTAACTAAAAGATATTTAAGGCAGCTTGTAAGCATACATGTAATTTATAAGAATAAAGTAATATTTCAGGTCTAACATATATATA